TTCAGAAATTCAGAAATTCAGATATTCTAAAACTCTGAAAACCTGAAAATCTGAAACTCGACAACTCCGAATTTCTGAAATTCCAAAAAAATCCGAAATTCAGAAATTCGAAAACTTTGAAATTCAGAAATTCAGAAATTCAGAAATTCAGAAATTCAGAAATTCAGAATTTTTTTATTTCAGAAATTCAGAAATTGGGGGGTTCAAAAATTCAGAAATTCAGAAATTCAGAAATTCAGAAATTCTGGTATTCTGAAATCTTGAAATTCAGAAATTCTGAAACTCTGAAAACCTGAAAATCTGAAACTCGACAACTCCGAATTTCTGAAGTTCCAAAGCAATCCGAACTTCAGAAATTCGAGCGCTTTGAAATTCAGAAATTCAGAAATTCAGAAATTCAGAAATTCAGAAATTCAGAAATTCAGAAATTCAAAAATTCAGAAATTCATAAATTCAGAAATTCAGAAATTCAGAAATTCAGAAATTCAGAAATTCAGAAATTCAAAAATTCAGAAATTCATAAATTCAGAAATTCATAAATTCAGAAATTCAGAAATTCAGAAATTCAGAAATTCAAAAATTCAGAAATTCAAAAATTCATAAATTCAAAAATTCAGAAATTCATAAATTCAGAAATTCAGAAATTCAGAAATTCAGAAATTCAGAAATTCAGAAATTCAGAAATTCAAAAATTCAGAAATTCAGAAATTCAAAAATTCAGAAATTCATAAATTCAGAAATTCAGAAATTCAGAAATTCAAAAATTCAGAAATTCATAAATTCAGAAATTCAGAAATTCAGAAATTCAGAAATTCAGAAATTCAGAAATTCAAAAATTCAAAAATTCAGAAATTCAGAAATTCAGAAATTCAGAAATTCAGAAATTCAGAAATTCAGAATCAAAAATTTCTAAATTGCTTCAAAATGGTCCAAAACCCTGATTTTTGGATTAAAAAACTTCAAATTTTTTGAAAACTTCAACCTTCAGACATCCGTCGTGTCCGAATCGCTCTTTCTCGTCATATCAAGTTCGAGCAAGACGAGGAAATGGTCCTAATGGCTTCTCGAATTTTAAGCCGATCTCATGGATGGACTTTGGACAATTGCCACGATTATTTGCCCATTTTAATTGGTTATTAATTATGGGTAGTTAGGCCGTTAATTACCCTAATTATTTTTCAGACAATTTGATAAGTCTGGACTACCGTAACCGACTAATTTCTCTGGAGGGCCTCGCCGCGATTTCCGATAATTTATTGGAAAAATTGATTAAATTCTCAAATTTCAACGCTCATCGAATTGGAGTCGATATTGCGGCAGAAGAGAGAACTGAAAAGGCAAAAAATTGTATTACGGTAGGTACAGTAACCCGGAAATTTGAAAAATTCAGAAAAATCGATAAAAAATTGATTTTTTGATTTCAGATGCTCCGTTCTGTCGTTAAAAAACGTGATTGGTATTATCGACAACTTGATGAGGAATCAGTTGATAGATTGGACGCCACAATGGAGAGATTGAAGAGAATTTGAATGGAAAAATCGAAAAACCCCCTTTTTGTCTTTTTTACCGATTTTGTGTGATGAATTGTCTTTCAAATAAATTATTTATTTTTTCTTTTCTTTTCTTTTTATTTTTTTCAGCTAAGTTAGGCCGTTTCCAGCGATTTCAGCTCTGAAAAACTCCAAAATTTAATTCTCTATTCAAATTCCTTGTGCTTCCCGCCACTTTCTCCCGGTACGACACTCCGCCATCCCGCCTGTGCGCGCGCTGTTTAGCGTAAATTCACACCTATTTATTTTCGCAAACCGAGTTTTTTCATTGATTTTCGGCTATTTTTATAGGTTTTCAGCATGGGAAAACACGAAAAAGGAAGTTCCAAAGACCTGGCAAATCGCACTAAATCAAAAGGATTGCAAAAATTGAAATGGTGAGGGAAAATTTCGAAATATCACAAAAATGCCGAAAAAGATAGTTTTCGGGGTGAAAAAGGTGGTTTTAAAGGTTTCCAAAGTTGATAAAAACGATTTTTTGGTTCAGAACACCTAGAAATTGCGGAAAAATCGCCGAAAAACCACCAAATTCGATGTTTTCTCTAAAAAAAATCGTCCAAAAAAGCCAATTTTTAGCCTAAAAAGCTGATTTTTGGTTTAAAAAGTCCCAAATTTTCTGAATGTTTTGATTTTTCAGGTTCTGTCAAATGTGTCAAAAGCAGTGTCGCGATGCGAACGGTTTCAAATGCCATCTGACTTCAGAAGCCCATCAACGTCAGCTATTGCTCTTTGCCGAGAACTCAAACAGCTATTTACGG